AAGTCAACCACCGAGTTTCACGACACAGAAGGTTCAATCGGATCATGAATAAGATGGTCTGGAGCGCCATTGACCATTGTGGATCATTTGGATCTTTCTCATCCATTCGCATTGATGCTGTATTTGTGGTTGGGTGCACGCCCGCAGTGCTGAATGTTGTCACGCCAAGGCAAGCTGCTCCTCTTGCGCAACTGCTTGGAGATCAAATTTGCCAAGATGCCACGCTGGCTTCCTTCTATTCAAGCACTACGAGACATCATCGAAGACGCACGGCCTGTCACTTTCCTGGATCTCTCTCTTTTTCAAGCGTTGCTCTTCTGTGTATGCTTTTTCCAGTGTCCACATGCCATCTAGTCTGATCGCTGTCAAGGTCTTCCAGAGATGCCCCCGACCACTGAATTTGGATATGCAAATGAGCAGAGATGATGGGAGTTTCTGGCTCCAACACCCTAAAAAGCCCCGAGCCTTGAAACCTGAGCCCAAAGCCCTAAACCCATGAGCCCCCAAAATCGCAAGGATGCCTGGGCCACTGCAGATCAGCAAGCAGCCATCGACGTGAGCTTCATGCAGGCTCTGATGCAGGGCTTCGGTCTCGAGTTTGGGGTCTGCTATAAGGCTATAGGGATTAACAGGGATTAGGGGTTGGCGCCTTGCGTTTGTACGGTTTCGAAAGTCTTTGCGGGCCTAATTATGGTCTTATCTGACAGGGTTCATCGGGCTTACAGGGCTTGTAGGGTTTAAAAGGGGTCAAGCCATAAGGTTGCACAAGAGAATCAGAGCTTCTGGGTCCGGTCGCAGATCTCGGGGCTGTTGATAGCAAAGATCTCAAGAAGCATGTGCCCATCGCCCGGAACTAGTCAAGTGCCGGATGCAGTCCAAGAGAAAGGTCTGTCCCCCTTAAACACTGATCCGAAACCTGACATCCTGCAGCCCACGCCCTGCAGGGACGCGCAGCCAACCTGCCATTGAGCGCCTTGCTCGGTGACCTGGATTGGACTGAAGAGATCTGCGGTGCCTTAAGGTTAAGGTTTGCAGGAAGTTGTTTGAAGTGTTTGTGTGTGCTTGTGGTGCGCATACAGAGAGTTTCTTTCAGAATATGAAGTGATGCTGGCTGCGGAGTGTCAGTCGATCTTGCGATTTGGGTTCTTGATTATGTGGGGTCCTTGAGAAGAAGGATCTTGAGACCCATTGCTCCAATACAGGCGCCTGAATGATTAGTGATACCATTCCTGGGGAGTTCCTAAGCCCTATGCACGTAATTATACGAATGATCATAAACCACAAAGCCCTCTTCCTATACCATTCTGCCCCCGCATACCCGAAGCCCCGAGCCTGCAAACCGCTGGGTCTGCAAGGTTGTGGGGTTAGGGTTCGCCCCAAGCCCTAAACCCTAACCCCGAAACCCAACATGAATCACAAACCCGAAACCCTTCAAAACAAAGCAGCCTGGCATCGTCATTCGAGCTTTGCGTAAAGGACCCGCCTAAGAGTCGCTATCACAAGGACCCTCAACCAGACTTGGGACCCCGTGGGTTTTTGGTCCTAACAAAACTTTAGGGGATCAATACGAATGGCGACTGTATTCTGGCTCTAAGGGCGGCTAGGCCCAAGTGTCTTTTAAATAGAGCCCAATGCTCCTTTCATGATGGTTAGTTAAGGTCTATTAGAGATTAGAGGGTAGATGGGGGTCTAGGTGGGGTTGAGGTCTTTAGGGATTTGAGGTTTGGGTCCTTAGGCCCTTAGGGGCTGCGGGTTTGGGGCTTTAGGAAAGCGGGGCTGACGGTTGGAGGGTGCTTAGGGTTTCGGGCTTTACGGTTTAAAGTTACGGCCCTCGGGTTACGGGGTTTGAGTGTAGTTACCGAGTGCTTTGCCTTGCCGAAAAGCCTGCAACGGTGTGACGCAGAAGTCCGTGAATCTTGATCCTGGGAAGCATGAAATTTAACATAGAATCCCAAATTATTGCACATACTATTCCTAGGGTTCCTTACTATAACTGTACTAGAAACGATCCCAAAACCCTATTCTAATTATTCAGGCCCCTACATTAAGTGTACCCGTTTGACTTGTAGGAGGTTCCCGTTTCAAGTGTTGCGGTTCGCACCGCCTGTCCGCGCAAGGCAAGAGCACTCAAAAAACGGGGGTATGTCACGGCGGGAATCCCCTTCGAAGCTACTAGGCTACTCGGCTTGGGGGCTCGGCTTTGGTGGCGCCAAGCTGCCACTGAAACTTGTGTCGGGTCGCAACGTCGCGGCATGGGGCGAAGTGTGTTTGCCAACGCATTGATTTGCCCTTGCTTTTCCTGTTTCACAACTGTCTCGAAACGGCCTCGTCCATTGCTGGGCTCCGCAAGTTTAACATTCAGGCCCGTAACAGCGCTTAACACTAGAGCCCCGCCCGAAACCGTGCCATGCTGGCTCCTCAAGTCGAAACACCGAGCCTGCCCCTGAACCCTCATAAGTCGTAGGCAAGCACATGATCGGTGACTTCGATCCCATGCTTTACAACTCCATCCAGGAGGAGTGTTCTGGCAAGCATTAAGCCCGGAAAACTCCTGAACAACGTGCTGAGCAAGGCTTTTGTTGTTTGAAAGATTGGTTTGGGATCTTCGAGGCTGGAACAGCTTGAGATGGTGGGCTGGCATATGTTCTGCTACTCCATCAGAAGGCTTCCGCCAATGTTATTCCTTAGGATTCTTTAATGTAAGTATAGTATAACACAGCCCGCAGCTCCTGCATCCCCGTGAAGATGGTAAAGCCCATGCGGTCGCGCTGCGACGGCAAGCAAGCTACTCGAGGAACTCCCGTGTGCAGTGTTGGCTTTATCGATTGAACATCTCGTTCTTTGATTCCCACTTCGACGTCGAGCAGGTTCATTTCTGGGCTCCGAGTATCCTTTGGACTGAGGCGATAGGCTAACACAATCTTCCCCCTTACCCTTGGTTAGTAGGGCATGGAGCAATGGGGTACTACTATTACTACCATTCTTCCATTCCCTACTAACCAAAGGTAGGTAGCCTGGGAACCTACAACCGAACGCTAGGGTGCCCAAGTCTCGGAATCCGCAGCAAACGAGCCCGGAGTCGATAAAATCAATCCCGAGCACCTTCCCCCTTCCCCCTCCCTGCTCAGAGTCGTATCGCAAGGTTGGGTTTAGGGTCTTGTCCCGGGGTTGATTGCAGTCTTATGGCACTCTGGACTGGTATGTACTGCACAGTATCAAGGCTTACGCGAAGCTGATTCAGAACCCTAAGCCCCAAAGCGTGAACCCGAAGAATGTTTTCGGACTACCAGGTCCTTGCGTGCCTGCCTACAGTACGAAGTCCTGCAGTCATAAGGTTGGTTATCAAAATTATGGTCCTTTTTTTGGGTCCCTAATATAATACGGCGCCTATTGTTCAGAGTACCCAAGAAAGGCCCTAATCTTGACAACCACTCGTAAACTGCAAGCTTCCGAGCCCACCCATGCACTGGTCAAAGCGCACACATAAAACCGCGAACTTAATGTTGGGGTCGAATAATCGGTAATAACAAGCATTGGTTGGATCTGAGGCCCTAGCTTTTGCATCTGAGGCTCTGGATTTTGGCTCAACTCAGACATATAGAGACCGTTTGGCTCGAATGAAATACAGAGTTCTAGCCCCCGATACTTTGGCTCATTTCTGGATTTTGGCTCAACTCAGACATATAGAGACCGTTTGGCTCGAATGGAACACAGAGTTCTAGCTCCCGATACTTTGGATCATTTCCGGATTTTGGCTCAACTTAGACATATAGAGACCGTTTGGCTCGAATGAAACACAGAGTTCTAGCTCCCGATATTTTGGCTCAATTCTTCGATTGGGACCGTTTGGCTCGAATGAGATAAGAATTCGAGCTCCGTATTCTGGCTCAAATGACATCCAAATCGTTTTATATACAGGGCCGGGTATGTTGAAGACCGAGTCTGGTTTAAAGCCGACCGAAAAATCAACTTGGCAAAATCAACATAGAAGGCTTCCGAAACTATTTCAAGTTATTAGGTGATACCCGATGCCATCTCCATACATAAACCAAGAGCACAGTCCTTTAGCATAGTCATATTGTTCTAGAAGAAGCTCATCTTGAAGGATGGCTGTCAGGGTTACATGGGACGAACTTGTAAGCAAGATTAGGGGGGTGTACCGGCTTGCGGGGTTGGCCATCACCAGGTTACATTTCCGGGGGTCATATAGTTGCATGCGGCAGCAACCACCAACAGACCAACAACAACAACAACAACAACAACACAACAGCACCAGCAGCAGCACCACCACCAGCAGAAGCAGCAGCACAAGCAGCAGCACGGACCGACAGCAACAGCACCAACACTAATAGCAGTATCGATGGCAGCGGCAGCAACAACAACACCAACAACAGAACATACAGCAACCGCAACAACAGCAGCACCATCCGCAACAACACCATAGCAGCAACAACAACGAGAAACAACAGAAAGAACAACAACTACCACCACCCCTAAGCGTAATTCCCAAAGCCCTAAAAAATGACTCTTTTCATCAGTTCTCCCTAACACCTCAAGCCTAGCAACTAGCTTTTCGGGAAACACCTTAACTCAAGATATACAGACCTGAAGCAAGCCGAAATCGGGACCGGTGAATCGAAAGTCTTCCCCTACCTAAACCCGCGCCCTGAACCCGTAAACCCTAAAGCCCTAAAGCCCCCAAACCTCAAAGACTAAGCCCCAAGCCCCTCACATCACCGGCGACCGGAGCTGCGGCTGGCTTCATTTTTGAGGCGGCAGTTCAGGACTGCGGTTTCGGGAGGGCCAGGAGAAGTGAGCTCAGTCGCCAGCGACTAGGTTGAACTCTCATCTTGGAACCTTTGAAAGCTGGTGCTCCCAGCAACTGAGTTTTAAAAGTGGGCCCAAGCAAAAGCATCCAGATTCGTGTCAATCTGGATGAATCATCTAGACTCACATCAGTCTAGATCGTGTCAATCTAGCTCATCCAGACTCGCTTCAGTCTAGATCAATCGCATCACCTGCTGCTTCACAAGCGACGTCGTCCTCTTCAAGAAATAAAGCGGCTTCTTCGGGCTGATCTCCTGTGGAAGCACAAAGTTGCTTGCAAGTGGCATTAGGTGGTTTGGGGTTTATAAATTTGTTCGGGTCCGGTCCTCTTCATCGGTGGAGAAAGACACCCGCCAGACTAGGCGAAGTGCCTCAGAGGAGGTGAGTTCCTTGTTCGTGAAGTAGCTGGCCCCTGTCGTGAACTTGAACTGCTCGCTTTGGGTCTTCTTCAAGTACTTGAACACCAGCGGAATCTGCTCGGGATCTGGGCTGATCGTGAATCGATCCACTTCGGCTCCTTTTTCAACCAGAAAACGAAACCAACATATTATCCAAGCATCACAGCCCCCAGACCCCAAAGGACCAAACCCAAAAATCGAAACCATAAGCCCTGGTTCCTCATGACTCAATCGGTCCTGCCCGCTCCATGTGGTGGGAGTTTACCGTAAGATCGACTACCCCGTTCTGCTCCATCTCCAGAAGCAGCTGCCTGAATTTGAGCTTCGGGTTTTATTGTGGTTTTGACTTTTGAGATTAGCATTAGGGCTTAGGAATGAAGTTTATCATAGAGCTTAAGCTTTAAAATTTGGGAGCTTTAGCGTGGCGCTTTTAAGATTTTGGTTGTTTGTGTTTAGTGATAGCTTTGGGTAGAATTCCGGAACGTACAACACGGCAGCCAGACAGCTATATTAAATCAGCCAGCAGAGCACCTCATCATGGAGATTGGAGCATCCTTCAACCGCCTTGTGCCCGGCTCCGTCACTTCCAGGACCACGGCCTCCTCGTCCGACTTCCACTCGCAGAGGAGGTTCGTCGGCTCCTTGAGCGGGCCTGCGGCTAAGGTTTTGGGGTTCATTATTTAGATTTAGGGTCGCACTTTGGGTTAGTTGTTGATACCGAATACAACATTTTTCCTCGCAGCTCTGCTGATTGAAACAAGCAGTTATACACAGCAGCTAACACTCGAATCGTGTGTAGAGCTGGTACCAGTCAATAAGAATATCGTCAGATTCCACAATGAAAGGTAGGCCAATCTTTATGGCCTTTATGGACGACAGGAATGACAGCTGATGGAAAATCTTAAATGTTGCTCCTGCAAGGCTACGTGCTTCAGTAGGGGACAGGAACGACAGTGACCCTCTCATATTGCGTAGCCGAAGCAAGCCCACAATTGTTGCCGTGCAAGATGGCATCCCAATAGATAGCTTCTTGAAGTGACTGCTCACCATGGCCACTCTGTTGCTGTCTCTACACTGCAGGAAGTCCACTACCAACAAGAGGATAAGCCAATGCGACCTGAGTAGCACATTTTTTGGACGATGCGAAGCCGATCCCCACAGCTTTGTCTTTGCGGCGCACTCTGTTGTGCAAGGCAATCTTGAAATCAAAAGAAGTAGCGATAGCAGGCACATCTTAGTGATGCCCACCTAACGGAACTTTTGCAGGGCTTTCTAGGCCCTAGGCCCACCTGCGTTTTTTGAGTTGTGTGAGGGTCAGCCCTTTCATGGCTTCCTGGCGAGCAGGGTGGCTCTTCCACCTAAGCACGAACTTAGTAATCTGATGGTTGTTTTTCGGAAGCTTGTGCTATGACTAGTCTATATTACTTTATTGCTTCCCAATATCTTACTTGGAAGACAAGTAGAGAATCAGAGCAACTAAGATTGGGACGCCTCGGCAGCTTCCTTGAACAAGTCCTGGACCTTCTTGCCTTCACCCTTGTGCTTCTGAATGTACTCCTTGCGAAACTCATTCCATGTGTTTCTCAAGGCACTCTCCTTGAGGGGCTTCTTCTCAGCTGTCTCATCCTCGTCAATGGCCCGCTTAGCCTTAGCCGGCTTAGCCTTAGTGTTGCCACCGGTGCCCTCGTCATCCTTTGCCTGGTTGCTAGCACTAGCAGCCTTTTCGGTCTTAGCCTTGGTCTTATCCTTTGCCTTGGCTTTCCCCTTGGCTTTGGAATCATTGGCAGGCTGCACCAGACCGGCGACCATACTGGACAAAGTCCCGACCTCTGGCTTCGCCTTGGTTTCTCGGGTTTCGATTCAGGGTTTTATGGTGGGCTTTTGCAGTTCGGAAGTTAAGGTTTTCGTTTTGAGGATGTAGGGTCAGATCTTGATGGTTTCAGATTAAGACGATTTACATAGGTATCCAGGCAAAGATTTTTTTTGGGAAGTGGTCCGAAGCTTTACGAGTGTCCATGCTACTGGTGATCAAGGGCCTACAAGACAGCAAAGTCGGCCTAGGGTTGTTCAGGGTCTCGGTGGTGCAAGATTTATGAGTTTTCGAGGGCTTGGGCTATTATTCACGAAGACCCTTTTCACAACCTAGAAAAATGAATTATAGGGCCCAAGAGCTTTAAGTGTAGGGGTTTGGGTTTAGGGTTCAGGGCTTATGGTTTAGGGTTTAAGGTTCAGGTCAACATTATCTCAGTTTAGCATCCTGGCGCTTCGGGGTCTGCTCCGACTTGTCCTCGCGGGGCTCCTCGGGCTTGGTCTCCTCGTTGGGCTTGGTCTCCTCGTTGGGCTTGGTCTCCTCGTTGGGCTTGGTCTCCTCGTTGGGCTTGGTCTCCTCGTTGGGCTTGGCCTCCTTGTTGGGCTTGGTCTCCTTGTTGGGCTTGGTCTCCTTGTTGGGCTTGGTCTCCCCCTTGGGCTTGGTCTTGCCAATGGAAAGCTGCTGAGCCAACTGCTTGCTCACTTCCTCGGCTTCCTGCATGATGGCCTCAGAGGATTCTGTCTCGTCGCATTCTCCCAAGTCTTCTGTAGACTGCAAAAGAGGATTCAACGGCTTCTTGCCAGCGGGTGTGGATGCCATCGAAGAGGCGGTGTCGTTGCGGCGGAACTGTAGCCACTTCTCGTCTGACTCCTTGCCCGTGAACTCGAGCTCAACCTTTCTTGCGATCGCCTTTTTCGGCGTTGCCTCACTCGAAGACTTTGGCTGCGGCTTGGCGGTGGCCTTGGCCTTTGCCCCAGGGTTCGGCTGGGGCTGAGGCACACCGTGCGGGGTTGCTGCCGGCATGCTGGATGAAGCCGACATAAGAAAGTCCATGAGGTCCTCACGAGAGTCCATGGTGTCTGAGCGGGCCACCAGTAGGGCCAGGATGCTAAAGGGTGCTTTTGGAAGCCTTGAGCCAACCTATCAGAACAGAAGGGCGGTGCACAACAGGCGTCCTGACAAGTGCTGCTAACTGCATCGTGCAACCCTAAACCCTAACCCTTAGGCCTCCGGATTCCATCATCTTCTGGACCTTTTGTCCACTCACGAAGCTGGCTCGATCGTGAGCCAGCAGAAACTCGTGATCCGGTAGGGTCACATCGCCGTTTGCAACCTGGGTTGTGGGACGAAATGTACCAGTTGGATCATAGAATAGAACACAAACTCGCAAGTAAAACGACAGGGGGCCAAGAACAACTTCTTTTCGATGACAACACCCTCGGCCTCCACCTGGCCCTTCTCCTGGACCAACTTTAGCATCGTCGTAGGGTTGCGTCCGGGGCACGACATCAGAGTGTCGTACTTTGCATCGAGTGCATCCAACGTGCTTGGCTCCGAGGACCATCCTGGAGCAACTGCGGAGCTGGTGGAGGTTGGCTGCTCAGCGGCTGCCTGTGATGTGGCTCCGGTCGCCCCGGTAGAGCTGGTGGTGTGCACCCTAGGTTCCGGGCGCAGGGGTTAGGGTTTAGGGTGAGTTGGATCTTGGCATTTGGAAATCAAGCATTAAAATCTGTTTATTCTGCTTGGGGTTATTTTGGGCTCTACGAGTTCTTTCGGCTAGTTGCGACTGATCGAACTTGACCAGTGTATCCGACCATTCCTTCTTGCGGTTGGTGTCGTCGCTCCATTTGCTGCGTAGCGACCCTGGAAGCGAAATCACCTTGCTGCCGTCCTCAGTGGTCATCATGGTCGCATAGTGGAACGTGGGCTCCGCCGGCAGGCCATCGCTGCCGTCGGCGACAGCCGGCTCTGGATCATAGGCAGCAGCCCCGATGATGTTCCGGCCGGTTTTCCAGTCCTTCAGGGGTTTAGAGCGCTTTGGGCTGAGGTTGTGGTTGTGTTAGATTCAGGACCGTACCTCCATCAGGTACTGGGCAACCATTCGCTCGCTGTACTTCAGCACAGTGACATCCTCCCCGAGGGAATATGTAGGCATCCTTGGTTCAAACCCAGAACATAAGGTTGAGGGCTAGGGCCAGGCTTAGGTGGGATAAAGGATTCGGGCTTCGTTTATAATCAGCAAAGCTTCCGGGGTCCACTGCGGAGGGTGGACTGCAAGCAAGACTTCTCGAAAGCCCCGTCATATGGAGTCAGATTGACACAACAGACTCGGCTTGCGGATGTGATGCCTGCTGCCTCCTGCACTGTGTTCGTTCAAGCATCAGTGCAATCACATGGGATTGAACGTCGTTGTTTTGACCTGTTACTAATTCATTAACTGCCATTATCAATCAAACGACACAACGATTATCGATTGTCCTTGAGGAGAGAAGTGATCACAGTGGACGGCATGTGGGTACCGCCCAGGCGCTGTGCTGCCTCTTGCACTTCACTGATTGACCTGGCTGGCTCGAAGGCAGTGCGGGGTTTAGGGTTGTCGATCAGTGTCTGGACTTGGACCCTCAGCAAACCCCAACCCTAGAAACCTCTGAAGCCCAAACCCTTTGCACCTGTCTTGGTCCTCCCGGGTGGACGGGGTTGCATTCTTCGCCCTGGTTGGAACCTTGTAGTCCCTCTCCAAGATCCATTCGATGGGCTCCCGGTTGCACCTTAGGGCTCAGGGCTTAAGCTACAGTGTCTGTTTAGGGTTTAATTAGGACCTAGGGGGGAGCTTTTCAGGATCTAGTTATTATTCTATTTTTACAAAACACTGTGATGTTGCCTGGCACCTGTCGACCACTAGCTTGCTCTCCGAGAAGATGTTGTCGGAGACACCGTCCGGCCAACAGAGCAGGCCCGGATAGAGAAGGGCCTGCTTCTTGTTGAAGTGGGGCTCGTCCATGCGTATGCTGAATGTAAAGTTGAGCAGGAACTTTGCATCGAGCTTGTCTTCCAATCGCCGGACCTGCATGTTGGGTAGTGTTTAGCTAGGGCAACAGTAACAACAAAGGGTCGCTCAGGAATTGCCGAATGGGTGATCTACACACAGCCACATGCTGTTTGAGCCTCGACCCTCAAAGCCATTAAACCCGTGCAACCCTGAGCCCCAAATGTCACTGAAACCAATCCAAAAGAAATTGGCGTGGATACCCCACACCTATATCCTTAACCCAAGTGTCTTAAACCCAGAACTTAATCCCTCGTGGCCTCGCCGCGGATCCCAGCAGCCACCCGATCTGATGGAAGCACGGGCACGATGATGACTGCAACCATTTTGGCGGGGTTGTGCTGTAGAAGATTGCGGATGGCTTCCGTAACGTTGTCGAAGTCATCTTTCTGCAGCCGTCCAAACTTCGTGAGGTCGGCCCAGATGATGGCCCCATGCGGTCGCAAGCTGTTCATCCACTTAGTGAGCATCAGGGAGTGAGAGGGTAGCTTTCGCAGCATGGAGCACACAACTCATAAAGCCCTTACCCAGCCTTCTTGATACTCTCGATCGCATCCGCGTCCTTGTAGAGGCCGTGCTCGTGCTTGCTGTTGACTTCCATGAAATCAAGGACGAGGCCGGAACCTCTCTTGTTCTCAGCACGAAGATGACAAACTTTTGCCATCTGTTTCGACCGGCCACACTTCTGCAAGTCTGCCAGGTAGGCAACGAAAGAAGCCAGGTCCAAACTGATCTTGTAGACGTCGCTCTCGAACTGTTTCTGGATGCTCTCGTTGTCAAGCTTGCTCACCTCCTCCATACCCTTTTGGATCAGACTTGCAGCTGTGGCGCTGCCAAGGTGATCTGTCCAAAGGTTGAGGTCCGAAGGCTTGATGTCAGGCAGCTTGAGCAGGCAGAACTTGTCAGCCTCCGCATTGTAGTCCCTGAGAATTGAATTTGATGATTGCCCAAAGACCAAGAACCTTTTTCTGGATGATATCACGAGACTAACTAAGTGCGTACGAAACACCCTTCCAACACCTTCTGCGTAGCGGCCCTCACCGTGTCACCCGTGAACAGCACATCTGCACCGTCGTCCGTTCTGGCCTTGGCCATGGCCTCCAATGCCCACATCAACAGGCAACTGGAGTCCACCAGTTGCTCCCAGCCCTCGGGCGACATCCTAGCGTGTGTCGCCGTCCGGACCTGCTTCCTCTTGATTTGAAAGGCGAAGTGGAGCCGCTGAATGAAAAAGGTTTGCTTCGGACGGGTGACAGCCATGATGTCCTTCCAAATGCCGTCGGCTTGCGAGTACTTGCCGGTGCTGCCAAGGTGCCACCTGCCGTTCTTGACATTCTCCAAAGTGTAAGCACACTCACTCCAAATGTGGGTCTGGAGGTGTCTCGACATGAGTGTGCGTACCTCTTCTCCGACACTGTCGATGAGAACCTTGATGGATTAACCCGAACAAAGAATCTCTCGGAATCACAAAAATACAAATCGTCGTAACAGCAGCAGCAGCAGCAGCAGTAGTTGGTAGTCGTAGTGTCAGTAGTAGAAGTGGCAGTAGTGGCAGTAGTGGTAGTAGTAGTAGTAGTAGTAGTAGTAGTAGTAGTAGTAGTAGTATAGTAGTGGTGGTTAGTTGTGACTGCGAAAACCGATGACCCATCTGCGTCCCTTAACCTTGTGCCACCTTCAGAGTCGTCGCAATAGTACTATAGTCTATATCGTAGTATATGATGTCTCCAAAATAATACTGTAGGAGGAGGAGTGGCAGTAGCAGCAGTAGTGGCAGGGGCAAAGGCAGTGGTAGTAGCGGACAAAGCAGCAGTAGCAGTAACAGCAACGAAGCAGAAGCATCTTTCTTTTGTAGTAGCAGCAGCAGAAGCAGCAGCAGGAGTAGTAGTAGTAGTAGTAGTAGCAGCAGTAGTAGTAGTAGTAGTAGTAGTAATAGTGGTAATAGCAACAGGTAAAGGAAGGTTTAGGGTTCAGAGTTTTAGGATTCTGGGGTTTGGGTTTTTGGCCGGGCTCTGGGGTTTGGGGTTTCGGATTCTTGGGTTTAGGGCAGCTCGTCGTCGCCAAAAACCCCTGGCTAAAGCCCTAAACATCCCCAAACCCAACACGACACTGTCTCAACACCTCATAAGCAAAGTTACTTTCATAGCAGTGCAGTCCTTCTCAGGCAGCTTGTAGTTCTCGGATGACTCGGCAAGCCCAAACTGGTTGTACTCCCTAAAGGCAACGTCCATTGCCTCGGCTTTCTCCTTGTACAGCTCGGGATGGTCCTGGGCGTGGCTGGGCTCAGCGATTAATGTTAGGCTTGGGTTTGAGCTTCGGGCATTATTGCAGCTCTGTATCGGACATAATTTCAGAGGCTCGCTGGTGAAATCTCAAGGCCATCTGCAGGATGTTCTTCTTTTGGCGCTCTGCAGCCTGTTGGCTGAGTTGCATGTTCCGGTAGGAGTACTCATGCAGCTGCCGCTGGGTGTAGATGACCTTGAGGTTCATGACACTCTCGAGCCACCTGCTGGTGTTTAGGGTTTTTCTGGTTTAGGGTTTGGGGGGTTAGAGTTTAGGGTTCAAAGGCCAAGGGTTCAGGGTTCACGGTTTTGAACCATAAGTGGACTTATAAGTCCAAAGCACCAAGGGAAAAACCTACCCCCACGATTTGGGGCCTGGCACGGGGGCTGGTTTGGGGCCAGCCCTGGGCCCAGGCTGGCCTGCCTGCGCGAATTGGGGAGTCGACGTGGTTTGGGATTGCGCTGATTGGGGGTCGACGTGGTTTGGGCTAGCGCGGATTGGGAGTCGACGTGGTTTGGGCTAGCGCGGATTGCCAGACCCCTGGCAATGGACGTACTTTCGCCAAAACCAAGTCGATTACCTAGTGGTCCGGAGCTCGGTGCCCAGTCTCAGGTCCAATCAAACCACATCGATGAACAAGGTGCCCCAAAAAGTCCGGTCATCGACGTACTTTTGGCCAAATCACAGATATTGACTAATGTGTTTCAGACGACCCAATCGATGATCCAATCGCTGCGGACCAATCCCCGCGATAACCTTAATCAATTGGCTCTGCCCGGAACAATAGGAGAATCGACGTACTTTCGCCCAAACCAAGTCGATGAACGACCCTTGCCAAAAGGACCCGGAATCAACTGGGTTTGATTGGAATACAGGCTACAAGCTCACAACGAAGACTAACAACCACTAAACAGTTACAGCCAACCATGATACTTCAAAACGAAGTCATCAAGCCAACATGACATTGTACGAACACACAGGCTAACTTTAATTTTCTTCAATGCGGACATGACATCATACATTATGGCCATTAACCTGTTATAGACAGTACAGCAGCAGCAACATCAAAAGCAACAACCACAACAACAATAACAACAACGACTATTAGTAGAACTACAACAATCTATTAGTACTACTACTACGACGACTCCTGGCTACTTCTACAACAAGCAACAGCAGCAGCAACAACCAAAAAACACCAATAACGAGGACAGTACAAATAATAGTTAGCATAATTGCAGCATAATGACGAAGAACTTGCAGTGTAAGATAGGTATACTATCGGCTTGGAACATGCTCTCAGGCTTCTATTCCGAGAACTTTGGCCATCATGGGCTGCAGATTGCATCTCGGAATGATGTTACGATCTAAGTTGATGTGATGAAGATTATGATAGTCCTGGAGATAGCTAGCTGCTCGTGGAATGGATGTTTTAACACAATGATTACTTGCACTAAAGGCATGTAGGATCGCTTAAGCCTTGACATTGGCTAGTTGCGAGGATCGAATGCCAAAGGAGCATCATATGACTGCTCAGTCATGGGTCAGTACAACATCCGAACAATGGTGATTTATCGCTATTTTTAGGTATGTTTCGATTCCTTATCCAACAAATAAGCATAAGTAGTCGAGCCGGAACTATCAACCAACTACCAACTAAGTGTCAAAGGGCCCGCCTCGTGAAATCCTCCTTCTCCTTCTGACTGAAAGAAGCTTGATCTTCGACCATCAGCATGTGGCATATTGCATATGCAATGATGCTACAACGTGTGTAGCCTCGACAAACAGCCACAGAGAAGGGCTCCAACCTGTCTCCCGGAACAAGCGGCTTCTGGGTGGTGGGTCGGATCTCAACAGGCTCACGTTCGTTCTCCCAATTCGTCCAGATTGGCACACTGAACTTGCTCCATGTGATAAGTGGAGGGGCTTTGTCGACGGGGATTGGCAAGTAGAGTGAAAAGAAGGGCACCAAGTCGGACACTCCCTCTGCTGGGAAGTGGCCCTGGTCCACCAGAACCTGCCCGATCTTACATTGTTATGACAAACCTTGTTGCTACTACTGCTACTGCATTGGTGTCTGCGACTGCTGCTGCTGCTGTTCCGTACTACTACGAACTGAATGATGATACAGCTACTACTAACTACTGCTACTACAGCTACTACTCCTGCTGCTACTGCTACTGCTACTGCTTCTGCTACTGCCACAACAACTGCAACTACTATTTCTACTATGGAGGAGTAAAAAGTATTTGAATTAGTTAGTAACAGCAATAATCAGCAGCATGCATACCAACAGTGGCAGCAGCTTGCAGTATATAGCGAGTACCAGTTATCGTCAAGCAATTTACCCAAAGTCAATGCCTAGTTTTGCGGGGGCGGTGATGTGCTACATTCTGATGGTTATGATTGAATTGGTAGCTGTAATTAGAAGCAATTAGTACGGTTCGGAATCGTGCCAGCGGTTTATAGGGGTAACGTCGCGGGAACTCTTTTTTAAGCCCTGTACGTGGCAGTGTAACCAAAAGCCTGCGAATGTTGCTCGGCCCGGAACCCCTTCCCTAATCAAGGTTTGCCTCAGTCCCTCCATTGCCGGCAAGCCAATGGTTCGCCACTGTGATGATTGACCCATCAGCCCTTGGCCCGAAAAACTGCTCCACCAAAGTACATGGGTGCTGGTCAGCTTCGACGTTGCAGTCCCTTAGCTGGGGTCTTGGAAGGCACATATTTTAAGTAGAGTACCAGAAGCACTTTCTGTAATTAAGAAAAGGCTCTCCAGAGCTTTGACGACTCGGTTGACCCAATTCTCTCCATCCCCTTTGGCCTTCTTGCCGGCAGGGCCGGCAGCACGAGAAGCCCGTTTTCCCATCGATCACAGGCAGGGTCTGTCCCTGAAGCCCTGAAAAAAACGCTTCCTCAAGCTCAGCTGTGCAACTGCTGTGCCGCCGCTAATGAACTGCGAGCAAGCAGACCGAGAGAGAGAGAGAGAGAGAGAGAGAGAGCGGGAGAATAAGAGACGTGAGAGTGACAGTGAGTCAGCCAGAGAGACAGAGAGAGAAAGTGTTGTCACTCTGTTTCTTTTGCTGCTCCAATCAGACTCGCGAGCTGTTCGTCTGATGTCAGAGCTCAGCTTTCACAGTGCATTGGCCGACTTTTGAGGGCACAGTTTCTGAAAGGGCAGCTGGTCGATCTCTTCAACTTCGGGCGCTTAAGGTTTAGGGTTTAAAGTTTAGGGTTCAGGGGGTTGTTTTATTGTTCTATGTCCAACCATAGGTACGAGCATTGCGGTTGGGCCCGACCCAAGAACCACAAGTGACTGCTGCTTTACGAACAGGTTTGTGTTCTTACTACATTGGCAGAACCAAGTTCTTGGTTGATCTGGCCGCCCTTTCTAGGATTATTCTAGGCATGTCTCGGAACGGCTTCAATGAACAGGGCACAAATCAGAATAATCGCCCCCGCTTGTGCTACATGCATGCCGTTTCCTGCCAGGCAGCTGGCCACCGATGCCGTGGGCAGGGGACTCAAGTCCACACTCGAAGATCCAGCTGTCTCTGCCTGGGATGAGGGGCTTACAGTTGCATGTTCAAAGCAGGGTGGAATTCTAGTGGCTTCAGACAGGCTTCGAATTGCTTCGTCGTAGGAATTGCCATTGCAGTGAAAAGCTCTTCCTTGTCAATGACGCGGTTGTGGACCGTTGAGAACAAGTTTCCACAGTTGCGCTTCAAAGTCATGAGAGAATTGTCGTGCAGCTCGGTGCGTAAGAACTTCTGACTCTGCTGTGCGAGGTCGTAGACCTGCCAAAGATTTTTTTCAAATAGTGCGACTGCAGTAATGATTTATTGTTAAGCAAAACAGAAACCTAGGGCCCACAGCACGTTGCCTTCTTGGAGCCTGCAAAGGCTTGGTCATACGTTCGCTTCGTCCTTGTCTGGGCTGCATTGAGGACCGTCGGCGGCTTGTCCAGGTAGAAGTAGTCCACTGCCTGAGAGCCCCGAGTTTCAACATGATAAACTAGGTTTAGATGCAACTTCCGAGGTTAGCATTGTAGTCAAGTGGCTTCCATTTGTGGAGCAGCAAACAGAACCTTGATCAAGCTCTCCAGGGACTCGTGCGTGATCCATCTTGCCCTGCCCTTTCTTGTCATGACAACCCAAAGCCGGGCCCTTGCTGCAGAGAAGCCCAAGTGGCGAGAGCAAAACCTCGCCGATCGTATGTCATAGTATTGACCTTGGGACAGGCCATGAAATCTTCCAGGTTTCAAAGACGATATTGTGACATGTGGCCAAACTTCTCTTCGAGGATGGGCAGTTGGTACTGCGGCGTGTTCTCGAAGATGATGACATCCTGAACTGAAGTAGCTTGGTCTTGAACTCATCAATCATACCCCCTCATGTATGTGTATTGATGCATGCATGTACATATGTATTGGTATGTAGTCCGTATGTATGTATGTATGTGTGTATGTATGTATGTATGTATGTGCTCTATATTATGTAGTAGTATGTATGTACGAACGTGTGTGCGTGGCCGTCTCTCTGTCTCTCTCTCCTTTTGACTCTGTGCATGTGGCCTCCTGGTTCTTCAACCGCATGTCGTACCAGACCACGTGGGTCTTGAAGGCTTGATCTTCGGTCTGCCACAAGTCGTGTTAAGATATGAGCCAAAAACGAAAACCGGGCAGGCCTGTAGTCGCTTGCCACTTTGCGAAAAAGGTGTGCAGGAAGCCCCTGCGCCCTCGACCCGGAGCTGGCAAGTGTGTCGGTCGCCGGATGGCAAGGGGCACATTCGCTTATGCGTGGTGCAGAATGCAGCAGAGGCCAAGGACTGGTTGGGACCCCGCCAAAGCAATATATCTCCGAACCTTAAGGACAGGAGGTAAGTCCAGGACATTGCATGAAGTAGTGATTGGCACGAGCATTACATGAATATCTCAGGATCGAACACACAGCGAGAGGGCCATGTCTTGTGCAGCAGGGCTTGTGCGTTCTTGCAGATGTCAGTGGCAGGACCGAGCTGGATCAGTGGCTGCCCGGTGCAGCCATGCTTCTTCACGACATCGGCAGCTGCACTTCGAACCTTGGCTGAGAAGGGGAGATGACGAGATGTGAAGACTTCTTACTTGGGTCTGTGCCGACTCTCATGCTGTTGGACAAGCAGCCGACTGTGCTGCGAGCTCAAAGCACCCAACACCACTAAATGTCGTAGTCAAATACCAGGACAAGTTTTGCAGCCGGGCACACACAAAGGAAGGGGTCCACTTCTGCATGGCTTTATGCACAAACCTGCATTCAATTCTTTGGTGATGTTTAGGGTTTCGGGCTTAGGGCTGCAGGGCTTTTCAAAAAGATGGACGAAGCCTGAGAGGCCAGGTAAATGTTGCATCGATGGTCTCGGGCCCGCCCGGGGCAGTGGAAGCAGGTAGTCGGGTCCCGTAGACAGGCCGTATGCCTGAAGCCTTCTGCTCCTGCTGCTTCGGCTCCAGAAACTTTCTGTTGCCCTGCACACAGACTCTCCAAAATAAGAATCTGAATGCACTATCAGCAAATTGTTACATGGCATGCTTGCTGGCCTGGCGACACACCTGAGCCTGCACAGCATCCTTCAAAGTAAAAGTTCGCTTTGATATGGCGGGGCGGAACCTGGCCAGCGATTTACTAGATTATAGATTATTATAGATCGAACAAGGAAGTAGGATGCCCCATGCATTTCGATCAGCTGAAAGAAACTTGGGAAGAGGCCTAGGTGCACCGATGCCCAGTCGTTCCTCTTCAGAGTCCACATCCGAAGCATCACACATAAGTTTTTCCTCCTCCGAATCCATGGCTTCAACGATTTATGACCCGAGGTCAACAAAAAACACAGAGGCCTGAGCAATCATGCGATGCGGTTCAGCGAACTTAAACCTCGAAGACATGAAAGTGAGCGTGTATGCAAGCCAGCGCATCAAGCCCCCAGTTTGCATTTTTGAATTCAGTGCCGTGTGAATCACTCAATCATCCGTAGCCTTCGCAAAGAGGTCTTTCGACTTCGAAGATGACAAGAACATTGACTACGTAGCAAATGAGTCTGTAAAGTTGCATCGACAGGTCTTGCTACCTCTTCAGGGTCGTCTTGAACCTTGCCACGGGGTACAAGATCAGAAATGATGTGGCAGGTGCATCTTGCAGCTGCACAACGCGGTTCTCATGGCTTTCCGAATGCCAGCTGAATGGGCTTGGCCCACCTTGAGCTGTGGAAAGGCCCTTGGCTGCAGCAAGCAAATACCGAGCACTTCGCTTAACGAGCTTGGCATCTCTGCCTGCACCCGAAAGCAATGCTTTGCACAAGTCAGCCCAGTTCTTGCGACGATCCACAGACAGAGGGTTCAGGGGCCTAGTGGTGCTCGGCAGGTTTCCGGGTAGTCGCTGCAGGAAGGCATATGGAAGCACGAGCACGGGTTTTTGGCTCGGCTTCTCATCACTGACGAATCTTTTGCACATGCAGATGACATCGTAATCTGAAGCGACAAGGTTTCTGGCTCCACGGCCCTCCACGACGATGCGGTCGCGGTGAGTCTCAGGCACATCTTAGTTGCGCGTAGCTCGGGTTGTAGGGCTTGTGCCTTGTATTTAAAATACTGAAAATGCAGGCAAGAAGCCATGCCTTCGAAGCATCGTAAAGCTATGAACACCATCGGAAGTATCGAGGAGCCCACCATGTGGATGGATCCGTAGTTGGGTCAACCTGAGCTACTGCTACCTAGTAGTTACTAGTCTACTACTTCTACTACGACCACCACTACTGCTGGGACTACTAACTACTCCTACTGCTGCTCCTACTGCTGGTACTACCAACCACCACCACTACTAATGACGGAACCACGGGGCCACAATCCCCAGTCCCGGACATTGTTCAAGATGCAGACCTTTAGCATGGCAGTGCGACCCACCCAGTCCCTGATGTTCAGCCGATGAAGCAAGGACTCGATTTTCCTGAGCGGGCACAGGGATTTCGGGTAAGGCCTTAAAGTGTTAGGCTAGTGTTAGGTGTAGGGTTTAGGGTTTACGGAGTTCTAGAGTTTGTTCGATAGTTCTGAGTTCTTCTCAGTACAATAGTGAGATTACATATATTTGGCTCAGAAATTAGCCAAATCCTGACTCGAATTTCGATTTAAATTTGCTGAAGATCGGTCAAGTCTCTGCTGGATATCCTCAAGATCTGAGAGTGTATCTTCAAACCGAAAGGCCCTGCTCAGCATGCCGAACACAGCATCCAGCCGGTTGTGTGTGTGTCCAACACGGCTGCTCTGTAGCGAAGCCAGCTTGAGGGCTTTAGTAGCTACCAGCCACGATAGGTATGCAATCATGACCTGGTTCTTGTTCTCCCTCACTGTATTGTCTGCCTGGATGGAAGTTACCAAACAACACTGAGTAGCTGTATCATGCAACAAAAGCGTATCTCAAACCCATTTCCAGAAACCAAGGCTGGCTTGATTGAACAGGGAGGGGCCCAAACCACTAGTTCGGCTGGACGTGGTAGTGATCTGGCGTCACACATCTCCATGGTGTCCTCGATGCACCGGGCTATCACCTCGGAAAGGGCAACAGACCTAAGAACAGTTTCTCGAGAGAACAGTTTCTCTAGAGACGTGTGTACTTATTGGTTTCTAGAAACAAATACTAAATATGTGTTCAGACACCTCCACCGTCAGTGATGAGTCGTGTGCAAAATTGGCATCTACGACATAGAGAGCCAGCAAGTATCCAGAAATCCAGCAACCGACCAGTTTCACTCTGGGGCGGATATACTTCGAGAGTTCTTTGGAAGCCCGGTTCCCTGGATAGCGGGGAAGTGACCACTTGGATTGGTCCATCCCGTCAATCTGAAGAAACATCAGAGGGCGGTCACTGTTCAACGGGTTCAAGCCCTGAAAATGCTGTTCGAGCTCCCGGTCCAAGCTCACAGCACGAAGGTGCTCTTTGTAGTCCCGCACGAGCCCGAACTTTTTGCAGATGTCCTGGGGGTTGGATAAGCGCTCGGTTTTGGTTGGAGAAATACTTTCATATAGTTTTCTGGAACGAAATCTGCCTTCTCATCTTTGATTGCTTGCTTCAACATAAAGCACTCGGTGCACTCTGCAAAGTCCGATTGGGAGCGAAAAGGCAGGCACTGTGCCCATCTTTTTTGGTAGGTGTCTTTGAAAACCGTGTACCTTACTTCCCATTCCTACAACAGCACAGATGTATCTGTAGTTTAGATTTTACGTATCGGAAGCAGTACTGTAATTTCTGACAAAGAACGAAGCCAGCTTCTCTTCGGGAGCCTCTGCCAAATATTGTCTGAAAATATCCATGACTGTTCCAGGCGGCAAGTACCGCCTCGGGAGCTCCTGGATGTTGAAGGCCTGCGATGTGAGCACGTACCTTGCGAGCTTTCCGTTCGGGGCTTTAGGCATTTGGGCTTATTCACTCTATTTCTCAGACACGTAACCTGTTCCAGAGCTCTTTGTCCAAATTAATCTCTAAACGAAGATCTTCATCTGCATCTATGGTTTCTCCAGGAACGGCCAGATCATCTGGCTCTGTGTCATGATCTTGGTCAAGGGCCTTGCTGATCTTGCACTCACCACGAGATTTGTTCGCCAGCAAAAACCTGAGTGCGGGGTGATTGAGCACTTCGGACCTAGAACCAACCCTGGAAGTCCAAAGGGAATGAGGCCAAGACCCTGTTGGAAGAACTTCAGCAATCAATGAGTGTTGACGGAGCAAGAACTTGTCGACTGATCTTTGCATGGGTGCTGCTCGGTGCAACGGGGCATTGCACTTGAATCTAGAGTCCACCATTCCATTGGCAAGCTTGCACAAACGGTTCTTCCCGATCCCTAGGAGCGAACACAAGCAAGAACGGCCCACCGTCACTCCCAACAGCTGATATGTCCTGCGCGAGGTTTCCGTGCCGGACACCAGAGTGTCTTGAACCTGGGCTGTGAGGCAGGCTAGGGCTCTTGTGGGATTGAAATCAGAGTCGGGTTATGCTGCACAGGGTCCCAGGAGCGACTAGTTGTAAAGTCGCTCAATATCAAGCGAGGATCAAAGGCATCTTGTTCCACTTTCCCCATAGAGTACAAGCTTTGCCGAAATTCAAGCAGCAAGTCATATTGAGCTCGGATATTCCGGAAGCATGACTGCCGGGTGCACTTGCAAAGCCTCCTCTTCAGCAGGGCATCGAGTTGATCGGAGTGATCATCACGTATAGCAGGCCTTATTTCAAGTGGCAGCTTTGCATCATAAGGCTTCAACAACAACCCAAACTCCTAATGCGATTCAGCTACTTGGGCCGGCTCTTTGCAAGGGCAGCCCTCTTCTTGTTGTTGTAGTGCCGGCGTTTTCGTACTGGAGCAGCTTGTTTGGCATTGCTTTGGGCACTCCTCAGCATATGGAGTGATTATGTTGCCCAACATCCATATCGAACTCAACCTACATCCCTTCGATTGGAACCAAGTGTCCGAAGTGCTGCCCGCTTCACTTTCTGAAACGAAAATCCGGAGGGTTGTTGAAGACCGCTGCCAGAAGCCCCCCCTTCAGCATGAAGAGCTGGATCTCCAACAGCTTCCCGAACCTGCCTGCTGAACTGAGAACTTCGATCATCCTTGACCGGAGCCTTCGCACAGGCCGCTCGGACGGCAGCTGACAAATCCATCGCCAAGACGCAGTATATGGCAGCTGCAGCGACAAGCCGCCGCATCATATCGTCATCACAGACTTAACTAAGACTTAAACCCTCCCTTCATAATTAATTAACACACCGATCAGCCTCTGCAGAAAAAGTAGTCGATGTCACTGCCGCAGAATATCTCGAAATATAGCTGCACATTCGGGCTCTCTTTGAAGCTTTGGGGCTGCGAAGGACGGCCGGAGTTGCAAAACAGGCGTAAAGCACACTGTTTTGACAAGTCACACCCGCACAACCATTGCACACACTCACACACTTCAAGCAATAGCAACGGCGTGATGTTTATTTACATTCGGGTAGGGGTTTTCGCACTTCGGTTTTTAGACCAGAGCCCGCATGAGAATCACTATTTGTTTTTTTTTGTATTTCGTCCGAGCCAAGCGAATTGATCCAAAGTATCGGGAGCTAGAACTCTGTGTTTCATTCGAGCCAAACGGTCTCTATATGTCTGAGTTGAGCCAAAATCCAGAAATGAGCCAAAGTATCGGGAGCTAGAACTCTGTATTTCATTCGAGCCAAGCGGTCTCTATATGTCTGAGTTGAGCCAAAATCCAGAGCCTCAGATGCAAAAGCTAGGGCCTCAGATCCAACCAATGCTTGTTTAATTCTGTTTCCTCCCCATATAGCTTGAGTATATTAAGTGTACACCCCCGCCCTTACCTCATTCTAACACTCCAGGCCCTTGTCTGAAGCTCTGTCATCTTCAAGCCAAACCCCATGGCTCAAAGTTGCAGAGCTGCAACGCTTAACCTAGACCTAGACGCAGGTACCTACACAGTGTAGAGACTTTGCAAATATATATATATATATATATATATATATATTTCATGACTAACACAGACTATGCCCAAACTTCTTACCCCTGAACCCTCAAAAACTTCACCTAGACTATCCATTGTTGGTTTTTTGAATATTACCGGAATTGACCCTGAATTGTGTGCTGGTGGCCCCCCAAGGTTCACACGGTTGAAGATGACCAGTCCGGCTCCTGTTTGAGCCGCAGATGTTCTCTGGCTGGGGCGGATCAGGGTTGGGGTGTAGTGTAGGCTTTTGGTCACCTGCGCGTGTGGCGAGATCGAACATGTTCCAAGTTTCCATCGTTTCGTAGGT